GGCAGGGAAAAGTTACACTTCTTGTGCAATAACGGCTTTAGGGTGGGGATGCTCGAAGTAAATAATTTCAAGGCCCAGGCGAGGGCGCCTCAGCTGGGCAGCACCTTCGCTCTTTGGCCGGGGGTCTCGGTGGTCCCAACCGGCCAAAGCACATCTATTGGACGCATGCATGGATGCCGGGAGAAGCATGGAGTTTGAAGGTGTTGGCATGTTGGCTGCATGATTTGACTCCTGGGGTCCTGCAACTACTGACTGGTCCTTGCAAGGTCTGGCTTGTTTCATGCCTTCGAGTGCGCAGTCCCAGACTCAGTTTTGGCTGACGCCCGAACGGGCCTCGGCATTTCGACTTGTCAATCTTAGTCATAGTGGTAGTTCAGCTCATGGCCCTCATGCTCTCCGCGGCTAGTTGCATGGTCAGTGTCACCAAGCCAGTGGTTTTGCTGAATGCATACAAAGGTCTCGCAGCGCCATCTCGATCCACAAGGACCGGCTAAGTGAAGGTAGGACCGCGTAGATGGCGCCAACTTCTGCTATTCTTCAGCTGTTGACCTCAAGAGTCAGCTCGTGCTGCAAAGGTATCTGGCGGCGTTATCAGAGTCCCGCCATTTTGGCACCGTGTTTGGCAGCGATGTGCCTTCGAAAGAAGGAGCTCGATCATCTATCGACGCTGCGCTGTGTGGATTCTTGACAGCCGGTGTGCTGCTCTCAGCAAAGTGTCCATGGAGGTATACCACGAGAATCAGGTGAATTCAGCCTGGGCTAGAACATGCAACTAAGGGTCCAAGGACCTAAATAATCGGGTTTTAGCGCCCAAATACTATAATATTAATGGTAGCCCCAAAACCCTATTAAGAGTTGCAGCCAGTACCAACAGACATACTCCAACTGGCCAGCAGTGGAGCCTTTGAGAAGCTGAGGTGCTATCCATGCGGCAAGGCCCGCGAGTGGCCTCCATGAATGCTGCAGCCGGGGTCCTCTTGCATGATTCCAGTCCCAACATAGGGGGACCCCAATGTAGTCCCCAAAGTACTATAATGCTTATTATGGGGACCCACAATGAGGTGCCCCTAATTTTGAAAAGCCCCCAAGTACTACCCCACGTAATCTGTTGGCGAATTGTGCGCGGCCGATGAATAAAGATAGTAACCATCATAGTAATTCTGATAGTAATACTCATAATAGTAACAATAATAGTAACAATAATAGTAACAATAATAATAACCATAACAGTAACCATACTAATAACAATAATAATAATAGTAACAATAATAGTAACAATAGTAGTAATACTAATAATACATAGAAATAGCATAAAAAATAGTAAGCATAATACTAACCATAACAGTAATACTAATAATAGTAACCGCCCCTGTGAACTCAGGTTGGCGCCTTTTGTGTGGCTTTGGTCGACGTTGTGTCAGGCTGGTGCTCAGAGGATGAAATTACTACTACTACTACTGCTGCTACTACTACTATTATTATTACTACTACTACTATTATTGCTTTCTATTTCTAGTAGTATGACTACTATTACTAGTATTGTTACTATTATTACTGTCATGCTTTTGTACTTCTGAATACCGCGGAGGCTAGGGGTTGCCTGAACACGGAAAATCGGGAAACTTCACAACATGGACTTCTAAAGCAGCAGTGACCCCATTACGCCGTTTGTGACATGGCATGCGTCAGCGAGGAAGTTTGACAAGCTTTGTCTTCCATCTGGTTCTGAAATGTCGGAACGTTCTATTTCCTATGGGTTTCAACATTTTCCAGTCCTGCAAGTTGTGCTTCCATGCACTTCCATGCCGGACCATTTGTAGCGCCACGGTGCCAGGCACTGCGAGGCTATGATGGACACCTTAGGACTGCGGGTGTCCGAAAAAGGCGGGGTGACACATTGGTGCATTTAGACAGCACATGTCCTGCATGGAGTGCTTGCATCATCATGGGATGATGTACCCTGGCCGTGGGCTGGTTGGGGGTTCAAAGCTGCTTTAGCTTTGGTGTTTTTCGCTGGCCAGCAATGTACTGTTTGGATGCCTGGGCCAGCGCTGTCCTGGGACTGGCAATCGTGCACGGTCTTCCCCTGGCCTTTCAAGGCTTGGTTGTACGAGCTGCCTGGTGCTGGCCAGCGAAGACACCTCGCTGTCTCCTTCCCGAGGTTCATGGCGGATCATGCCTCCGCCAAGGCATTGAAGTGTCTGAGCTCTTGCCAGGCCAGAGTTCTAAAATGAGCTTGCAGAGTTTAAAACACTTGGATGAACCCAAGCTTTCTGGTTACAAGTGTAACTAATAAGGCTCTTTAGATGAAAATGGATGGTTTCATGTCTGAGTCAGGCGAGAGCTGTGTTCCCAGCTGCACGCATGATGCACTGGCTGGCTCGTGCACAGAACTGAGATGCCCCCCCTCTGGTCCTGAGCCAGCATGCCTGGATGACCTGAACGCAGATACTTGGTGGGTTCCATGTGGCTATGGTGGAGAATGCCAGAGGCCGATTGAGTTGGGAACGGTTGGATGGGAAGATTTTGGTTTCTACAGCTGTGGACCTCCAGGTCCTTCAGCCTGTCAGTCCGTTGATGAAGTCCAACTTCCAAGAAGCGAATCTGCCCTGCAACGCCTGGATCTGTGGACTGCTGTTGCCTTTGGCTACTTGGCTTTGCTTGCCAGGTTGAGCCGCTCAGTGTCTGAATGCGTTTCCTACAGCTGGTTTCGGGGCTGCCTTGCGCGGGCTCTCTATGCTAAGGTTGCCTTGCAATGGTCACCGGCCAATCTGGCAGGAGTAGGCTGCATTGCTGCCCTTTTCATCTGGTTGTGCTTGCTGCCCTTTTCCCAAAAGTCAACTGGCATCGCAACCGGATTCGCCTTGCTCCTCACTTTGTGGTGGTCCTTTTTTAGAGGAGGAGTTCACAACTACGTCTTCATGACACGCGAAGCTGCTTGGCGTATCCATTACAGCCTGGGCCTGCTCGCTATAATCGTAGCAGCCGTCCACGGTGCCCTCAACCTAGCCAAGCATGGCCTGTATCGGCTCCTCTCAACTTTCCACTTGCTCTGCGGAGTTTTAAGCCTGCTCGCAATTGTGTTGGCGGTGGTGCCTGCCACGCTGCTGACGTACGATCGTTTTAAACGCTTACATTTCCTTAGCCTGGTTGGCTACTTGCTAGCCTTAGCTCATATGGTAGGCCATGCGATTCAGCTGCAGACGCTGGCCTCAATTCTCATGGCCGCATCGAGTGCCTTTGTTTTCCTGCTCTATGCCATACAGAAGTTATATGTTCACCTGTCACAGCGTGATGTCGAGATACAGTCTGCCAAGATGGTCTCTGATAGTTCCGGTGAGCACCTGTTTCTTTCCCTTGCAGTGAAGGACTTCTCTTTCAAGGCCGGGCAGTGGGGTCACCTTTTAGCTGACCAGGTGTCTTCAGTTCCTCACCCATTTACCCTGGTGCCTGGAGACGGGACTGCCAACGTTCAAATCTTCTTGAAGGTTTATGGCGGCTTCACGGACAAGTTGGCCAAAGCTTGCCGAGATGCCAAACGACTTCCGAAATTGAAGCTACAAGGGCCCTATGGACTGCCAGCTATGCCGTTGCCGGGCATAACCGAAACAGTGTTTGTTGTGGGTGGCATCGGCGTCACACCAGCACTTTCACTAGCTCCGGCTGCAGCTGCCCATGCCAAAGTGGCTATGTTTTGGTCGTTGCGTAGCTCTGCGCTGCTGGAAAGAGTGACGCCCCTTCTGGAGGATCACTTAGATCCTGTCAGGAGCTGCGTGCAGGTTACACTGCCATCTGAGGCTGTTGACAGTCTCCCCCTGATGGCAGAGTATCGTAGCAAGCGAGACATGCTAGATGTTGGCAATTGGCTCACAGGGCTGGGCAAGAGATTTACAGCTGAAGGCATTTGTCAGGTAATGGTCTTTGTCTGTGGTCCTCCACGCCTGGTGGCTGCAACAAAAGCCGCTGCATCTCGAAGAGCTGGTGGCCTTGCTTGGCATGTGCATGTTGAGGAGTTCCGCTTTCTGCCTTGTACACGGAGTTCTCCAGAGCCGAGAGCTCTCAGCCAGCCTGTGGAACCGCGGATCTATGGGCAGAGCGAAGAATTTTTTGATGTGCAGCCTTTAAACCAAGAGCTGGATCGACCCAGAGCCGAGGTTAGCAGCTGCGCTGCATTCTGTGGGCCTCGATTGGCGTCATTCCTGAGCTGACGACCTGCAAAGCTCCTTTTTTTTTTTTTTTTTTT